TTGTCTTAAAAACTTTATCCTTTCAACTTCTTCATTTAAAATGTGAAAATGACACAATCAATATTATATAGGATAATAATTGCACACAGATGTTGTTTTTCTTCGGAAAAAAATATAAAAATCGAAGAAGAAGTGTTGGCGGTAATGGAAAGATTTGAGTTCTTTTATTTTTATTCTGAAATTGAAAGCGCTTGACCCCAGTCCATTATGTCCTCTCACAGTTTTATTAATCATTGCCATGTGTCATTGTGTGTATCGAATTATAAAAATATATTGTACTATGGATAAATGTGTATAGGATAAAAACGTAAATTGTAACAAGAGCAGTGCCACAATAGCTGAAACAGTAGGGGAGATCTTGCAAATTGTATGCTGGACAATCTCCTGTATATGCAAAAAAGAATTTAGCTATTGATTATTTTTCAAAACTCTCATTTTTCTCGGTCTCTGTTGGACTATTCAAAAATTTCATGCAGAAATCTTTTATTTTATGAACTCACGTAGTTTGCAGCACATTGGAAATTGAGACATAAAATAGGATGAAGAAGGACAAAAAGAAAGGAGAAAATTGTAAATTAGAGTGATAAATGAACGAATTGTTCCTAGTAAATTTTTTATAAGGTGTTTAGGACTGACTACATCTTTAAAATAAATTGAAAAAAAAATATTCTCTCCAAATGATCTCACACTTTCTACTTAATTTACTTGCATATCCACTTCTTTCAGTTTCGTATGGTCCATATCGAAATGTTCAAAAATCAGGGACATGAATGTGCAAAAAATTTAGAAAACTTTCTCAAGCGAGAAAACATTTTCAAGTGAAATAAAAAAATAAATGTTCATCCATGAATGGATTTTCCATGTAGAATAGAAATAAAGTGTTGTATGCTCCCTCAAATTGTAGTTTTTAACCAAAAAATAAAACCCCCAATAAATGTATTAGAAGAATTTAAGAAGAAATCTCTTCGACATTGCGACCAGCAAACAAGAAAGGGTTAAGCTTGTGAACATATAAAACATATGTGTGATGATAGATAACCTTTTTATTTTTTTTATGAACTTTCTACTCTCACTCTATCGTTCATTGTTGTAAAGGCTTGAAGAAGAAGAGTAGAATTCAATAGGAAGTAAAAGATTGAAATGTGATTTTTGAGCGCATTTATGTTGAGGATAAATTATAAATGACGTAGGATTTTCAAGCAATGCTCTTCAAAATATTCAACGACTAGAGCATCAGTAAGAAGTTTCAATCAGCATTGATAAAACCGAAACCATTTAAATGAGATTTGGCGTTACTTTTAATAAGAAGTATAGGATCGAGACCTAGGATGCCTCAATCCTTACTACAGTTTGTGAATAATTAAAGAACTTCAAGTGGGATTTAAAGTTTGATAATAGCAAGTGCTTAGATTTTATTTTGTGGTATTTAAGGGATTAATCCCGAGTGTACATGCCTTGCTGCAACCCATTAATTTTGGTTGTTAAAGAACACTTGCATCTCTCCTCCAACTCATAAAAAATATCATGAGATTAGGGGTCGTTCATTTTTCCAGAGATTTCCAGGAATTTCTATTGTTCTTTTCTTGCTGACCCCCCCCCCCCCCCCCCCTCACCCGACCCCCTCGGACGTCATAAGTGAATGACAATTTATAAAAAAGATTCAAAATCAGATTAAGCCATACGAATCGCCCAAGAACTCTAGGAAAGAAGCTGTTGACAGAGGCAGTATATCCCTTCGTATTGGTAATTGTCAAACGATAGAGCCTCGAAAATTGTCGCAAAAGTGTCGATAAACAAGCCAAGTTTCAGCTCGAAATTCGAACTTGGACTGGCGTACTTCACACAGGCAGCGATAGAGCAAGCTTCAGGTGCCATCTAAGAAAGCCAATGGATCACAATTGATCAGTATGGCCAGCGAAGTAAGGAAATATGTAAGTCATCTCTCTAACCAATCGACAAAATGTAAATCTCAACATTTTCTACTCAAAAATTGCTAATAAAATTTACAGTCAATCGTAAGTTCTTCAAGTGATTTTATTGGAATTAAATTGGTTTGCCTGTTGTTGATTTCTCTCCTTTCGATTTCCGCTTTTCTTTCTTTTCTCTTTTTTATTCTGACCAGAATTCATCTTCGTCTCTTTTTAAGAATGCCTCCCATACATCTGATACTTATACAATTTGAATGCGTATGAGGGAGCTAATCGGATGTTTAGTTATTCAATTTATCTTTTCAATATTTATTTATTCAAACAAATGCTTCACAGATTTTTATTTTTGGGATTTTGTGGAGGGTCATTCTATTTAAATGGATGATTAATTGAAGTTGTTCTTCATCCATCCATAAGATGAGATGGAACTTGTGCGTTCAAGTGCGTTCGATAGTTGCTTTTTTGAGTACGGACAACAAAAATGAAAATTGTTGATGAAAATGCCACTTGATGACAAGGACATGAAATATTTCAAATGCCATTACATTAAGCATCAGCCATATTTTAAATTTCATCGTCCTCCATCCACCTACACTCTATCCCCTGCGCCTAGAATGAAAATTGTCGAACAATAATCGGAGGGTATGCCGCATATAAAATCGCATTTTATCAGTTCGTAATCAAATCACATTAACTCGATTCATTTTACAGCTCAATTGATAAGGGTAAATATTTGTGTATGAATTTTCTAAACGAACCCCTTTTTTTCAATTTTATTTCCATTTTACTTTTACGTTTTTTTATCCTTCTTTTAAATAACAACAATGCCGCCGTTATCAATGCTTCTGGCTTTGACCAGAATACATTCATACCATACCCAAAAATAAAAGAGAGAAAATAAAATGAGAATTGAAAATGACTTCAAAAGAAAAATTGAATTCAATTTCATTTGAGATGAAATACAATTTAAATAAAAGTGAATTTGATGTTCTCGATATATATCCTCTATAGGATATATCGTATAATGTAATGGAGGGAAAGGAAATCTATGAGAATCAAATCAGATTTGTGTGAAAATTTCTCATTCCCATTTCTTTGATGATTCTATTTGATAATAAAGCGATGAATAATGGTGGAAAATTGAGAATCAGGGAATTGAGAAGATGGCATTGGCAAGAATTTTGGACATGTCCAGCCTAGTTTTGAATAATCTGTTAATCGCCTGTATTAAGAATCGAACCCACAACCTCACAAAGAATCAAACATTGTCGACATGTCAGTCAATCTTGGACTGAAAGATTCACCTACTTAAGGTTCAAACCCTAAACACAGAACACCTCAAGCCATAACCTTAAACACTCAATTAAATAAACAAGTAAAAAATCCCGATGATAAAGAAATTAAATCAGAAATTGCGCATGATGTCAACTGTGACTTGCAAGAAAAACCTTTTTACACGCTTTTATTTAACTCACACTGTTTGTATGTTTCATGCGTCAAATTTTGTAATCGTTATTTCGATCACTTCTACTGCTCCAATCGAGCTCAAATTTTTTATGCACACTTATTCTCGGTGACAATACAATATTTTAACACTTTGGAACCACAAAAATGCTTAATTATAGTACAATTTAAGTAAAACTTTTTTTATATGGGAAAAAATCCAATGTCAATGACATATAATTTTGATTTGTTTAAAATATTATACTTGAAATGTTCAAAGGTCATTTACATGATTCATTATAGTTTAATTAATATTATTAATTATTATAAATTTGAATAGCTAAAGATATTCTGGTAAGACCAGTAAAAAAATTGACAAGTAATTTTTTCATGGATATTCGTAAGTGAAAATTTGAATTTTAGAAAAACCGTTAACCGCAAGTCAGTTACGTTTTTAATACAAAATAACTATTGATATGCAAATATGCATTTAGCACACATCGTTTGAGCATAATATATATGCTTTTAATGTATTTGATTGATTCTTAACAATTGACTAACATTTAATGAAATTCACTTTCTTTTTATCAAAGGCTTGACGTAGTTTTGCATAACATATAAATGACATTCATTAAAATTAAATTTGAAAAATCCGTTATAAATACTTTAGTATTAAGTAGAAATGGTACGAATAAACACCAAATCTTTATGATTGATTTTTAATGTACTTTACTAATTGATGTTCAGGACACTTTTAAGAGTTTAATGTGTTTCCAAGTATGAATTAAATTATATAAAACGAATGAAAAATTTTGATAGTCTTTACTAATTACCCATTAAAAACTGGTATTCAATAAATAGTTGAACGAAACGGAGTGAAACTAAGTGAAGTTTAGAATTTTGAAAGTTGAATCGATTTGGAGATTTTAAAGACTAAAAAGTAGAAAATAAAATACTTTAAAAAAAACTTTTTTTAAAAAAGCACGCTTTTATTTCCGATTACAGAGCACTAAAAAGAAGAAAATAATTTTTTTTGCTAAGCTCTCAAATTTGATACAAAATTTTATGACTCAAAATAAAAGCGTGGGGCGCTGTTATAAATATCACTTAATCTTGAATTTGTATGTTTACATAAGCGTTAGGTCTTCAATGTTTATAGGTTTGTCTAAGGAGAATGATGAGCCCATACAAATTATGGTAAATCTGAGACGGTAGACTTGATCTTTATGAGATTAATGTAGAGTTTTCTGTGTGGCACTAGAAATCAAGTCTTACTCTCCTGCTAAATCAAACTAGTTCCTTTGTGTCAAAAAATAATTTGAGATCAAAACGTTAAAAGCTCTTTCGTTTTAATACAAAAGTTGAATTAAGAAATGGATAATTAAACTGAATTCAAATAAATTTTAGAAAATCTAGAGCTAGTTTATATTAAACGCCCCACGCTTTTATTTTGAGTCATAAAATTTTGTATCAAATTTGAGAGCTTAGCAAAAAAAATTATTTTCTTCTTTTTAGTGCTCTGTAATCGGAAATAAAAGCGTGCTTTTTTAAAAAAAGTTTTTTTTAAAGTATTTTTTCTCATTCAATTCATGACTTTGTTATTTTTTATATTTATTTCGACCAACTTACCTTTTACGGCTCGCTGCTTTCGACTTGCCAATTCCTCTCGAACAGTCTTAGCAACATTGCTCGGTTCAAAATTCACGCGACTGCGAGCCAAACGTTCCTTACCGCGTTCATTCATTCGCCGCAATCGATCAAGGTATTGTTGATTTTGTAACTTTTCTCTATGACTCATATTGATGAAAGATCCAAATGCTGCAGCCGCTGCTGCGTCATTCGATGACGGTGAATCACCAACATAATTGTATGGCGATTTCATACAATCGACCATAAGTGGCATACTCATATTTGTTAATGATAATGGTAATGTCGATGCTGATGAACATGTGTTGATGCTACTAATAGGTGCTAATTTTGGCATCTTAATGTCAGCATCCAAATCATTTTCACTTAATCGCCTCTTTTCAAAACGCTGCTGATGCCTCAACATCATATCTTGGAGTGTCAATAAGCTACTATTACTCGTTGGCGATGCCATTTGAGGTGTGGATAGCATTAATTGCTTATGTTGTTCCGCACTTAATTGTAATTGTCGCCACGCCATCATTTCATTATCTGACAGTCCTTTTCCTGTTAGTGACATACAAAATGAAATGAAGAAAAATTAAGTTTTCGTTTTGAAAATCATAAAAATAATAAATGTGATGACGAGGAAGTGAACAAGTGTCTATTGCAGCATAAAGAGTCATTAATGTGAAGATGTGTCTCTAATACTCGCGATCATACTATATTTTAAGTTTGAAGCCTCAAGATCACCAGAAAGTGACAGTGCGAATGTCATATAGACCCTACTAGCCATAAACTCTTGTAAAATATTGCATGCAACAGACTAATGTACGATAGTGTTGACTTTACGATAATATAATTGTGCGAAGAATGGTGGGTGGATTGATGACGAAAAAAAAAAGTTATGTGATGACACAATAATAATGAAGACAAGCCTGCCTCCCCTTTTGTGGTTAAAAGCAATCGCCATAAATTCGATTCCGAAAAAGTACAAAGCAGAAAAAAAATATGTGTGAATGGAGTATTTTCCATGCACAACAACATCATCACGATGCTCTATAAAGCCAATATTTGAAGCCAGCCAATGTACAATAATACTAATAACAACAATAATAATAAGAAGTAACAACAACAAAAATAAGAAGGAATACTCTATGTAGTATAAGAAAAAAAAAGTGAACCATATCACATCACGATGATGGTCAAGTGAATGAGCCGGTTAAAGAGAATGAAAAGGAAAAACAACTTTAATGAAAGAAATCTTCTGTGGTGAGAAATAAAACGGAATGTTTTATGTGTCTGCTGCCGTCCTAAACAGATGATTGTTGTTTTTCGGACTATCCGGTGTGCACGCTCATGAGAATTGAATATGTGTGTATATACAATGGATTTCCCATTCTTATTCCTCATCCTTTCGACCAAAAATTACGTCAAAATCAAATTCTGAAATATAAATAGTGATTCCTTTGTATTTACTCTTTACCATGATAAGAATGGCTATCACATGTCTCATAGAGATGAAACGACATCAACAACAAAAAAAAAGTTTTCGTTTCATGTTATCAAAAAATGATGGTTGGACATTATAATGAGCTTCTTTATCTGGTCATTGACACACAAATATTTTAGCGAGCTTATAGAACATAAGGGTGACATCATGAACACTTTGGCAATAAATTAATAAATTTGATAATTTATGAACGGAAATATCAAGTCGTATAATTTATTTATAAATATCGACAAAGTCATTTTAATGACATTTTATTTTAAATTTATTGATATACGTCAATCGATTTAAAGCGATTTTCTTATCCATATCAATGCAAAGCAACACAAAATTTTAATTATCAATTCTTGGTAACATGGTTAAGCTGTATAAAATTATATTTAACAGTAAAACCTCGATATTAATTCATTTATGTTATCTATTGACATTGTAGCTGGAATAATTCTGATAAAAATCACGTCCGAGTATTCAATTAATTTCAAGTATTTGAACATAAATAACTTGGACTGTCAATCTTCATAAAGGAAATAAAATTCCATTTGTTAAATGATGCCAATGACTATGTTGAGAATAAATCAACTGTCGTTTAAAATTTAAATAATATTTGCAACTATATATATTGCAACATATTCAGTTGTTTTCCCCCCTTGTATAGTTGTAAGCCCCTTCATAGAAATAAATAGTTTGTTTTTGATCTTTGAAGAATAAACATCGTTGTTATTGAATTAAATCCGTGAGTAGTCTTTAATTAAACTTATTAATAAATAAGCATTGACAATCGTCAACCCAACAAGATCTGAGCCTCCTTTGAATCTTTCCCGGGTGGACACAGCCAGTTAAAGTCCATTATTGGACAATCATTTAACAGTCTTTTAACTTGCTGAAATTTATACGACATAGAGAACTAATCGTTTACTAGACTTTAACTGGACATTTATGCTAATCAATCAAGTGCTCGAAACTCAAAAATAATTTTCCTTACTTTTTTGACCATATACTTCACAAGCGCTTGCAGAAATCACTTATATAAGGTGAAACTTTTAAGTAAATATAAATGTTTCACGCGCCAGTGTTCGAGATTCAAGTTTTACTAGCGATTTTTCATAAGTGTGAGTGTACTTTAATTAATTAATTACACTAATACAATAATAAAATTTTACAAAAGAAAAAAAATGGAGAAAAAGACACGTGTTATTTATTTTATTTCGATTCTTTTGTCCAGTTTGATTGCATAATTGCAATTCCTATGTCCAGTTAAATGGAAAGCGCAAAATATGTCATTAGTCGTCCCTAAGTCTAGTTGTAAAGGCACGCCAATGGAAACTTACTCGCCATGAACAGGCAAGTCAATGGCAAGCTTTTAACTAGTACTTTGTCCACTCGGGTTTACTGCCTATAACTTCAATTCTTTTTACAAACATTGCTCCACATAAAGCTCCAAAATCAAATTATCAAGTTCTAGGCTAACAATCGGTCAAGAATCAACAGTAATCCACATTGACTTCTCTACTTGCTCAATACCGTTCTTCTTCATCATGCTTTTGATGTGATATTGTTTATATATTGATTAGTTTCTGTACTACAGACTATATACAGGAGATATCATGTCTTTATGCTTCTTAGTCATGAAAATTTCTTTTTTTTTTGTTCTGTTGTTATAAAAATAATAAGATTATGTAGAGGAACCAACTGTAATATTATTAACTTGCTCAATGCATTTACAATAATCAAGGGAAAGGAAAGAAATTGACCAGCTATAAGATTTCATGTTTCGCGAGACTTCTTATGCGAGCAACATCGCCTCTGCATGTTAAAAAAGAAGAGATGAGAAGAAAAAAAATTGTATATTCTGTCTTTATTGAGCTCGTTTCACTATACCTTGTTGCCATACAGCATATTTCTATTGTTTCATTTTTACATAAATACACACTGCCTTGAATGCTGAATGCCATGCGCAAATTGAAAATTTTATCGATCGCATAAAACACATAAAAAGTATAAAACTCACGTATAACAAAAAAAAAAGGGAGGAAGAAGAAGAAAAGAAAGAATATTTTCATAATGTACACAGTGTGGTGGAGAGAGAGCAGCAAGAAGTGGAGACTGAAAATGAATTTTTTTTGCATGATGGAATTTCATGAGATAAACGATCCAATTAAAAGAAATTGAACATACTCAAAAGACCTCTGATGCAGCACAATGTAATGAGATTTCATGTAAATTTTTTCAAATTAAATTGAGGAGCGTCTTCTTATCAGCATTTGAAGGCACAACACTCCCTCACATCTAACATTATTTTAAACTTTTTTTTGGGGGCAGTTTCAACTGACTCGAAAAAAAAATGTGTGTAAGTCATGAATGTGTGTTAAGGGATGCTTCCTTTTTTGGTGATTCTTAAAAAAAAAATTCATCGTGCCAGCATACGACGATGACTGTGAAGAGGAAAGACTTTTTTTTATTTTATGTTTACAATTCACGCAGCGTTTGTGCTGGTTGTGTAAATCAGTGCTGTGCGAAATGGAGATTCGTTGCCAGTACATTTCTCTCCCTCATCATATATTCATATTTGTTTCGGCTTTTTTTTTTGCCGGGGCTCATGATTCTTTTCCTGCTACTCTTTGCTATTTTTTTTATATTTATACAGTTATGGGGATGGAAAATTTTTTCTTTTCGTATCAGAAGAGATTGGCTCGAAATTTTAAACCAATAAAATAGGGGGAGCGAGATATGAAAGAAGAAGCAAGAGATGAAAAATAAAAAAAAAAGTTTTTCACCCAGGGACTTGTTTTGTGTATGTACATATACAGATTTTAAATGAGAAGCACAAAATTTTTTTTTCCATGCCCGCATCTTCTTAGATGGAGATTGCTTATGTATGTTTGAAGAATTTTTTTGTATTTTTCTTCATAACTTTTTTTTCCTGCTTACAATTTATTTTTATTTTTTTGTTCTGTTATACTTTATGTACATACATACTCATTTCTAACTCAGTATAGTGGAAGCACTATATTTTGCTTATATGATTTATGTTTTCTTATGACTACATTGCAGAAGCGAGAAATTGCTTCGCTTCTAGCTTTTTATACTATGCTGATGTATGAAAAATGATGGAAATTTATGGTTTTCTCTCAGGTTCTGCTCACTCTCTCTTGTACTTGTATACGTATGCGAATGTACATATTTTTATATTATATTTCCATTTTTAATGATGGGGATGCTTGGACTGTATCTTGCATTCTTGGAAGGAGATGATGAGACAATTGTCATTTTGTCTTGAAATAAAGCTTAGCTTGCGTTGGGGATTAATTGGGATTTTTCAGCTTTTTACGGCTCAAATCGTGTCTAATTTTTTTCATTTTAATTGCACTTTATTGCATTTATTGACGACATACTGCCCGGTAATAATTCACATTTTGCACTTTTTGTATTTGTATACATATGAATTAGTATTATGTAGGATCAAACTTCTAATCTTCATATCCAGGTTTCAAATAAACTAAGGCTCTCGTTTCGATCTTTTGTGGGCGTGATGTGATACTTTTCAGGTCCGTTCAAACAATATTCCATTCGTGGGTAATCTTGTAGCTCTCGTTCCTATTTCTCCCGCTACACTACAAGTTCCTGACCCGTTCCTTAATCCAACGTTGCCCAAATGCCCAATTATGGCTTGATCTCGTACATTAATCAGTCGAAGTATCTGAACTTCCGAAAAAGAACAAATTTGGAAATGGCTGGATTCTAACCGACGATCTTCGAGTTACCATCCCAAATTTGAGCCAAGCGCCTTACCCATTCGACCAGCAAGGCACTTAACTGCACTAATTCATTAAGGAGGCTAGAGGGATCCATTGAACCCCATTTTCTTAATTCTTTTAGATTATCAAACTATAAACCATACAAGGTTGACTTTAGAAATTCATTGATATGCCATTAATGCCACAAAAGCACTCTTATGAATAAAATTTGACCAAAAAATTCTAAAACTTATTCTAAATTTAAAAGCAAAATTCCGAATAATAAAGCAGCTATTATGATTATGAGATGCGCTTAATCATCA